AAATCAGTGAGTCGCACGTTGATGGTGAAAAAAAACCGTTTGCTCTCCTGATCAAACACTTGGCTCGTAGAAACCAAATGGTTCAATTGACGCGGCAAAAGCACGTTTTTGTTTTCGGTTTGATTTTTTTATAACATGTGAAATCTCATAGAAATGGGCGTTTGTTTTCGGAAAATGACCATTTGGAAAATATTGTTCCATATTTGATGAGTTTTAGAAACTTTGATCAATGAAAAATAACTTACAATCAAACCTAAAACACCATTAAAACGTAATAAAAAAAAAAGAAGAAGAAGAAGACTTGCTCATATAAAGAGTGTAAAACATTGTACACAGTTGTAAACACGGATGACAATGGATCAAATATAAAATGGGTATCTGTTTCATCCAGTTTGATAAATATTTATTAAAAATATTTAATGGGTATTGAAATAGATAAGGATAAAAAAATACTTATCCACTAATATAGTTTCACGATATAAGTATCTCACTCTTTATATTATTAATATCTCTTAACGTATTTTGATTTTTTTATTAAGATATAAAGATCTAATTGCAAAAACTTTAAAAATTGAGAATCAAAATATTTTTTTCAACAACTTTGAGGACAAAAAAACTTATAAATAAATGACAAAAAAGCAAAAAAAAAAAAAAAAAAAACTAACTTTTTTTTGTAAGTAGGGTAACAACTTGAATTAATGGGCCGGGTACATGTTTATTGACATCCTTGGCTGTGACCACATCGATAAGCAAATGTTAAAACACACATAATATATGCTCATTTGTTCTCTCCATCTAGAAACACTGTAAGGACAAAAAAAAAAAAAAAAACTAATTTCCTATTGTCTCAAAAACAAGAGAAGTCGTAACTCTGAAGATGGTGTTGATTTATTATGTGAAAAACTTGGAGTGCTGTAGTAGCTCTTCAAAACAGGAGCAAAAATCAGCTTGATGTTAATTGCATTACATGAGAAAGTGATGAAAATTGAAGGTTTTGATGAACATCTTCTTGGTGAAGCATTTGACCAATTGATAATGAAGTGCAAATTTGAGGACCTCTATGATAGGCATGAGATAAAGGAAATAATGAGCTTCTTTATCTATTGTATATGTAAATGTTGTGGACATGTATTTGGAAGTTGTGTGATACGTTATGCCCTTTGAACCTCTTATTACCGAACCATACATGGATGGATTTGTTATTTGAATTTGCTTTAACACTCAAGTACGTTTACTTTCTAACGATTTGGAAAATCTTGGAAACTTACTAATAATTTTCATCTTCATATGCTAATTAAATTGTTTATTTCGACTGTTCATTTTCTCAAGCACATCAGACACCAAACGAGTTTCTACTTTCGTTTAGTCAAACAATGGAAAATAACTCATTTGTCAAAAACATATTTTCCATTTAAAATGTCTTCTTTAATGCAGATTATTTTCCAGAAACAATCGCTCCCTAAATCGCAAATAAATTACAGACCCATCAGAAGGACAGAAGTACAGTGCGGTACAAACAAAGGTCGAGTTAATCAAATTGCATGCAGCAAAAAAAAAAAAAAAAAAAGGGAAAGACCGAAAAATTTAGGATCGCCATGAAATCATAAACACCCCAAGAAACAAATTGTCAGAAAAAAACAATATAGCAAAATTCTAATCACGGAAGAACCATAACATCCAACAATGCTATTATGACTTGCTTGGTAATGAAAAACAAATTGTCAGAAAAAAACAGCAATCTAATAAAATAAAAGATATTCACCACAACATGGTAAATTCCTAGATAAAACACAACAAAAAACTTAATCAAAGAGGCTGAAACCCATGTCATCATCAGACTCTTCCGCTGGCTCTTCCACCTTCTCCTCTTCCTTGGCAGCCGCTGGGGCACCCCCAGAAGCAGCAGCAGCAACAGGAGCAGCAGCAGCAAACTTGCTTGGATCCTGCATCATAGAGGAACATTAAACAAAATTTACAGTGACCTAAGGCACATCCAGAACTTAAATCTGAACATGGAATATAGTCAAGTAAATGAATCAACAGATTACAAACCTCTAGGTACTCTTTCACTTTCTCCGCTTGAGGATAAGAATACTCGGTTGCAACTGCAACAGACAGAACATTCTTGTAGGCATTGATGAACATGTGTGGTGCAGCAGCAAGGGTTGGGTAAGAGATGGCCAAAGACAAGGAGGCAATCATTGAGACACCAGCAGCAAACTTCTCAACAAGGTCATCCTCTGTAAGGTCAAGCACCTCAGGACTGAAGACTGAGCCATTGTCATAAGCAGACAAGACAACCAGACCATAAGAAAATGGCCTAATGCCAAGCTTTGCAAGCAGAGCAGCCTCAGAAGAGCCAACCTTCTCACCCTTCTTGATCAACTCAACCGCAGTTATGATTTCAACAGTACCCTTGTTAATCTTGGTTGGGATATTGAGCACCTGAAAAAAATAAAAAAGCAGCAGTAAGAATGAAAAATACAAGCCACAAAAATCTATTCCAATTGAAAAATAAACAAGAACACAGAAACAGCATCATCATAAGTTTCAGATTCCAAACCTGGAAAAAAGAGGTCTGTGATGGGTCAAGCCCTGTGTTGCCAGGAGGGACAACAACATCAATTGGTGCAACCAGACCTACTCGAGCAGGTGCTCCAACCTGTTTGCAGAAGTCAGGGGAATGCATTTGATAAATTAGGGACAAACAAGCTTATAGTAAATATCCTCAATTATCCGACAAAACAATGTAGTTGTTTTCCAAACCCAAAAAACTGTACTGCACACTTTGTTTCTCGTCTCCAATTAGCAACAAAGATGCAGTCGATATAATTTGAACAAAAACAATGAAACGTCAATTGTGCATTTGATTCCCATCAGTGTCGCATTGTACTTGGGACAATTCAACAGACAGTTATAAAGTTTGGACGCAATTATAACGTTTTTCTTTTTAGTGAAATTGCTAAACATCTTTAAATCTCCATTGACATTAGCCTAAAAGCAAATCTAGGATTCCGTTGACATTAAGCTAAACGCAGCGCCTAGCTAAAATTTATTAACAGTACACCGCAACAAAAAAAAAAGAAATACATTTCTATGATGGCGAGAATGGTGAGATTAAAAACAAAACAAGAAAAAAATCAAACAAATTATAACATAACAACGTAAATTAACAATCATAAAAACAGAGAAGGGAATTAGAATTAGCTCACAGCACCTTGTACTTAGCAACCTCCTCGCTCACTTCCTTGAGATCACCTTTGGTGAAAATCAACCCAACGTTTCCCTTGAAAAAAAAAGGTAAACATTAACCAAAACAAAATCCACCGATTGTAGCTAAAATAGAATAGAACGAAAATCTAATATTATTGTATACCTGAAGGAGAGGGATGAGGTTAAGGAAAGCTTTGTTTCCAGTTTTCTCAGAATGTATCCTAACAGACCTCTTCATCATGGTATTCTTTCCCATAAGAACCACAGAGTCACCTCTAAGACCCTGCCTGATATTCTGCAGCTGATTAGACCCAACATTATCAGCTGCTGCAATCAAGATCTGGCTGTACTCATCCAGCAACTGGCAAAGCTTAGCATCGTATGCGATTTTCTTATCAGCCTTTGATAGTTTGTTCACCATTTTTTACTACTTTGGTTTCTAAAACTAAAGGGAATGTAAAGGTTACAGCAAAACTGAGGGCCAAGACACGAAGCTAGAGTTCTGTCAAGGCGGACAGCAAGAGCGCCGCTGTCTCTTTAACCTCTGAGGTATTTGGTCGAGAGTATAGTGGGAGAAAAGGAAAAACCCTAACACAGACGTGAAGCTTGAGAGAGATAAAATGTGCTTTTATGCTGGGTCTTATAGGAGACCTAGATCGGACGGTTGGTGTTTGTGTTTAAGATTGTTATCTAATGGCTGTGCTTTTTTCTTACTCTTTGGGCTTGTTTGGTGCCTTGGGCTCCAGAGTCTTACTTAGCAGACCAGCCTGATAATGAAAGCCTGGATTGGATTATGCTGGTTCTTCTCCCTACTTGTTTGGCCGTTTGTACTTCGTAGTGCAGTGGAATTTGTTGCTTTTGTGTTCCTTTTATTTTAAGATTTTTTTAAAAAACTTTTTTAACGTAATATTTATAGGTTTTATGGAAAAATTTGCCCCATTGTATTGCAATTTGATAATTTTAGGCCTAGAGTACCAAATTGCATAATTTGAATATCAAAATATTGAAGATTCGGCAAATGTGATCAAATTGTTCAATCTCTGTTATGTGAAACGATCAAATGCTAATTGATCGTTAATTTTTTTTTAAATGAAAAACTTGGCCAAGAGAGTGATCGAAAATGAGAGAGAGAGATAGAGACATGGAAAGAAGGGAGAAGAAGCTATCGATTTCAAAGTCGAATCCAATGCCTAATTGATAGCGAGATTGCGAAAAATTTATTAGGATTCATGAGATAGTCTCTTAAGGGTTAGATTTCGATTAGGTTTTTTGATAGTTGAAATGAACTGGGGTTTGAATTTCAAATGACTCCGTTTATGAAAAGATTCAACATCCTTCATAAAAGCAGACTTACTCTTGATTGATTTCAAACTTATTGGAGATTGGACAAATGTGATCAAATTGTTCAATCTCTATTATGTGTAATAGTCAAATGTTAATTGATCATTACATTTGTTTAAATGGAAAACTTGGTCGAGGGAGTGATTGAAAATGGGAGAGAGACAGAGACATGAGAGAAAGGAGAAGAACCTATCAATTTCAAAATTGAATCCAATGCCTAATTGATAGCGAGATTGCGAAAGCCTTGTTAAGGTTCATAAGATAGTTTCTTAAGGGTTAGATTTCGGTTAATTTTTGGATAATTAAAGTGAATTGAAGGGTTTGAATTTCAAATGATTCTCGTTTATGAAAAGATTCAACATCTTTCATAAAAGCAACTTGCTCTTGATCGGCTCCAAACTAGTAACCATCAGCAGAATAATCCAAAAGGAATGACTTGTTTGGGGTTAGTGTTGGTGGTAGTGGAGTGTTGAAAGCAACGAAACATCCAGTTTATGTGGCATGGGAACTTCCTTCTTAATTGCTATAAGAGCTACGCCTTCTTTATGAACATCATCTTCTTCATTTTCATTATCATCATCTTTAGCTTCGGGGTACGAGGAGGATTCATTATGATTCAAGGCCTCGTCGTCGTCATCTTTGGGAGTGGTTGAAGAAAGGTGTTTGACATTAGCAACATTAGTGTTTTAGGTTCACCATCGAGATCCTTATTATTACTAATACCGTTACTATTATTGTCAACGACGTCCTCCTCCTTTTCCTTTTCCTCATACTTGATGAAATCTTGAGCAAGCAACATCATTGATGTTGACATTAATAGCAATAGCATCACGAGGATGAGTAGTGGCGGCATTTGTATAGGTTACGTCAACCACGAATTGGGTATTATCAAGATGCCATTCTTTCTCCTCCTCCTCCTCCTAAGAAGAATCATCTAGAAAGAGTGTAGGAAGAGTCGATTCGCAGTAAGCGTTAGAGCAACATCAACATCCTTTGGGTCTTTTTAGAGATTACCCAAAAACCCAACTCATCCTTAGGTATTATCGAGCTAGGTTTTACATTTTTTTTTTAAAGTAACGTTCAACCGATAGTTGATCGTTACACATAATAAAAATTTGATAATTTGGATCACATTTGTCCAGTCTCCAATACTTTAGAGTTTGAATTATGTAATTTGGTACTATTAGCTCGAAATTATCAAATTACAATACAACGGGGCAAAATTTGCCATTAAACCAACATTTATGGTATCCTTTTTATATTATTTTGTGCACAATGAAGCAAAAATAATCCAATTGCTCTAAAATAGAGGTCGGTGTAAAATTATGGTCTCTAGTATTGGCATAGTTTAAAACTTAAAACTATTTGACTCACATATGCTTAAAATACTTTATAAATTTTTTAGGTATCTTTTGGTTATTAGAAAATTCCGAAATCAAAATACAATAATCAAAATAAAAATTAGAGAATAAGAATAATATTTATATTTTCATACCGCTTTTAAAATAATAACAAAGAATCAAAATGAAATTTAAATTATTTAATAGTTAGTTTTTAATAGAAATAAAAATAATGATTGAAAAAAAGGGGGATTTGAATAGAAATGGTGGCAAAATAACGATAACGATATTTTTTTTTATCGTTGCCTTCAATGATGGTGTTGGTGGTATAATAAAAGTGATGACGATGGTTGAAGAGGAGTGGGGGTATAATAATAATAACGAGTACTAGTAATAGTAGTAGTTTTTTTTTTCAGCACCACCACCAATAGAGATGGTGATTGTGATGGTGGTAGATGAAGTAATAATAATGATGATGATAATTTTTATCACTAACATCAACAAAAGAGAAGGTAATAGTGGTGGTAGAAATAGTTGATATACGATAAATAAAAATAATATATCATTATCTTGAAAGAAAAAAATCATCTATATTTCTTGTTTTTATTTCCACCTTCCGCATAAAAATAAAACTATATTTAATTTTTATTCTCATTCTTAGTTTATTCTTTTCAACCAAATACCTATATGATGGGGATAAAACTTCTAGTTCTATTTCACAACTCCATTTTTGCTATCTAAACAATACTTTGAGATTGGTTGAGATGAAAAATATTGAAGGAAAAATGTTAAGGGAATAAGATTTAAAATTAAAATATTAAAGATGTGAAAAATAATTAAGGGATAAAATGTTAAAATATTTGATATTAAAAAAAAAATCATAGATAGTAGCAAGTCTTGATTGAATAAAATAAAATTTAAATTAAATGAAGTTATGAAAAAAAGAAATAATATATATTTTTCGTTGTAAATTAAAGATGGGGGGGGGGGGGGGGGGGCAAGAAAAACAAAGTGACAATTTTTTTGAAAAAAAAAGAAAAGAAAAAACAAAGAGAGGCGCACCAAAAAAAAAAAAAGAAAAAAAAATCCACTTGAAACATCCTCTACTATCCTTTCCCGCTTTGAAAGTTAAATGTTTGCCATTTCTTTGAAATCTTCTCCTCCTTCCAAAAGAGCATAAAAGATGAAAAAAAATACAAGAATAAATTATTACTTCCTCTACCATCGTCCCAAATATATCCTAATATATTTAGGGTGATTTTTTTAAGTTGACTTTTGTGCATTGAAAGAAAATTTATCATGTGTTAATGTTGAAATTAAGAATTAACATCCTCATATGTTCTTATATGATAAATCAATTTTTTTATTCTATCTTAAAAAAAAAAATGCTTATAACCTTTCTTTATATTTTAAGTTTGTTTCTAATTTATTCTTATGGTCAAAGTTTTTGACAAATTTTTTAAATATATATATCACTTACGTTAAATAACAAAAATAATTTTATTAAACCGCATGTCATATGCAAATCACATGCTTAATTTGATTTAATTAAGGTAAAAATTTTAATTGAAAAATAGATTATACATCATATCAAAATACAAGAACAGATTAAAAGTCTTTTTTTTTATAAAAAAAATAGATTAAAAAATTAATCTTTTTATGCAAAAACAGGTAAGGATATTGACTTTAAATTCAAACTCTGCTCCTATTAATTGCTAGTATGGTGTGACATTTCCGCAAGCAAACCAATAGGCCAGAAAGCCAGTCGACTATTTATCTTAAATAAAACTTTTCCATCGCTTCAAAATCAAATATCTATTATGGAATTAAATTGTCTCTAAAGTTGATATAGTTTAAACTTATATTTTGTATCCAAAACAAAATTTGAAACTTAAAACTGTTCGGCGAAGGAAGGCGTAAAGACACCTGTTGAGAATATATATGATTGTTTCTGCATTCTCATATCAAGCCTGACCAAACACTTTTTTTTTTTGCCCCCTTTATTGTGCACTCGTCCGATAGACCCAAGTAAAAAGCAGTGGATCAGTTTAGTGTAAGATATATTTAAAGCCCAACCAAGTAAACAGATTTATTCCCCATATTCATGCCCTGGTCAAGTATCCTATATGTTATGCCAACTAGTCTTGTTTTCCAGTTCTGGCCCAATAACCTAATCAAATCGATCTTGCAAATATATTTTTTTTGTGCACGGAGTTCGTTGCCTTCGATACGAATTAGCTCGTGATGGTTGGTTCTCTTTCGTACATAGCTATTTATGTTCGTGCGCTTTTCTCTGTCTTCCTGCTTCTACTTCCTTTTTCTCCTATAAACATATATTAAGAAGTTAGTTCTCTCGTTAAAAACTCTTAGCCTGTCAAAGTCTCCAGTCATGACACCAAAGGTTTGAGTTTTTTTTTTTTTTTTAAACCGTGATAGCGTTGGTGGCACTGTTCTTTTTCTATTTTCTATTTTTTTCATTTAATAATTATAGATCTGATATTCATTCTACTTTTATGATTTTTTTTTATTATCATATTTATCTAGTTAATCTTTCTTAATTTCAGGCTTTTTTTCTTTCTTGTTTTATTTATTTTTTCTGTTTTAGTATTGCAATGAATGTCTTAGATAATTACTAATAATTCAATTTTCAAATTTCTTGACAGAAACTATTTATCGAGTGAAAAATTAAAATAATTCTTAGATTGTCGAAAAAATTGCATTAGTCGTACGTCTATTTATAAAATAGTTTTTATTTTTTAAAATTTGAACTCTAAACTTAATGAATCAACACAAACGTACACATATAAATGATTACCGTCAATTTAGGCAAAGAATCAAGGATAATATCTAAAGCCTACATAACCGAGTAAGATTAAGAAAATTAAAACAATTTTTTTTTTCCTATTCTTTGTTTTTCAAACCCATTTTAAGGCCCAGGCCCTGTATCCCGTCTTCACTAAGTCCCACTTTCAGGTCCAGACCCAGTAGCCTAGTGTAAGAACTCCCTCCCCGACATCTGATTTCCATCCGTTACCGCGGCTCCAATAACCTCGGAGACCAAGCAAAATGGCGGCCACCACATACCGAGATCGGACGGCGGAGTTTCAATCAATAAATCAAACCCTAAAAAAATTGGAGGAATCACATCCGCTCATCAAAACGAATCTCATCGAGCAAATGATTCTTCTCCTTCAAAACCACTGCTTTCTTCTACTGCTAGATCTGATTTCAATAAAAAAGCTTCCTTAATCGGGTCAGGCGTTCACGAAACCTCACAAAAAATCTCCAGGCTTGCCCAATGTAACTAAATCCCTCTCTGAATTAACCTCCTTGATTCATAATGTAACAATTTTATACTAATCCTTGGGTTTTGTTTGGCAGTGGCAAAAAGGTCCTCCATGTTTAATGATCCAATTGTGGAGATACAAGAACTAACAGTTTTGATAAAGAATGATATAACGGCATTAAATACAGCCTTAACGGATCTGCAAACAATTCAAAATATGGAAATAGCTGATGGGAATTACTCAGAGGATAGACGTGTTCATTCAACAGCTGTTTGTGATGATTTGAAGAGTAAACTTATGAGTGCTACTAAACGGCTTCAAGATGTTTTAACTACTAGAACTGAGGTTTGTCTTTTGCTAATGTTGTTCTGTTAATGTTTATTATATATTAGTGTTTGTTTGTTAGAGTTGAACTGATTTATTTCTTTGGGACGATGCAGAATATCAAGGCTCATGAGAATAGGAAACAGATGTTTTCTACCAATGTTTCGAGAGAGAATCCGTTTCTGCGTCAAGTGAAACCGATGACTGAGCCACCTCCTTGGTCAAATCCATCTAATGCATTTGACAATTCACAACCGTCTGCGTAAGTAATTTATTTGTGTTTTGTTTGCCCATATTTATTGCTTAGTTTTTGGATTGTAATTCTTGTTGATATTAAATTGTGTGCGAGGTAGGAGTTCCATTGTATGGTTAGATTAATAGCTGGTATTTGATTTATCTTGAATTCACTTTCTGACCAGATTGCCACCAAATGGTGTTCAAGTTGGGAACCAATTAAGGTATGTTTTCTTACATTTGTACATGTCATGATTGATCATTTCTGTTTATATGTTCTGTTTCAAGTAAGTGATGTTTTGTGTTAGTTGAGTAGATAGGTTGTTTTTGATGTGGTATCTAATCATCGACTTCACAGCTCCTAAGCATTTCACTTCCTAAACTTTGCACATAATGTATGTATCATGCAATCATGCCTCATGACTGGTATCAATTTAAAAGAAAGCATGCATGTAATTTGTTATCAATAGCAACAATTTCACCATGGGCTTTATAGATTCTTTTGATATGTCCATACTCCATACTGTGTATCCAAAGTACTTGCTTGAGCCACTCAAGTATCTCCAAATGAACCTGTTTCTGTTTTCTCTAGCATTAGTATACAAACTGTATTAGAAGAGGCTAAAGAGATAACGCATGCTGAAAAAGGATGGAACCATTTCCTTGCTCTTCTCCAAGTATATTTAGACTTGCTAATTGTTATTGTACCAGTAGAGATGCTGCTGGCTGCCATCACATAGTGATGAAGCTTGCTCCAAATTAGCAACAAAGTCAGTTGTAGTTGGCCTATCGTTCCCTTCCAAATTCACACAATCACTGCAGTGTATGCCACCAATTCCACTTTGCTTTTGCTTCATTAAGCTCTGGTGGACCAATCATGGCATCCAAAATCTTACCTAACCCACTGCAAAACCAGATTTTTGTTGGTGTCCCTCCATTATCATCATCCTTGGCTTTCCAGGCTCATTCACAAGGATAAGGCTGGAGACTCTTTATAGAGAGAGGTGTGATCCAAGAACGATTGGAATTCATTTTTCTTCTGAGTTGCAGAGCTCTCTTTCCTGTCAAAAGTTGCAAAACTCTAAACTCTTAACAATACCACACCAAGGCCATTGACATCACTTCAGTTAATACATTCAGGCCATAGTACTCAGGATAAAAGCACCCAACTGTTCCTGCTTCTTTGTTGACCTGTTATCATTAATCCTGCTTAGTTTGAGGACACATGAATGACAATCCAAAATCCAAAACTCTTACTGCCTTGTTCATGTTGAGCAACATGTTTGAAGACATTTTGATGTCTCAGTGAATTATCAGAGGGACTGCATAATTGTGAATAAATTCAATTCCCCTAACAGTATCAAGTGCAATCTTGATCCTCAAATTTCCACTGAATTTATGTCACTGCTACTCTTTTCAATGTTGTTCATTCATGTAAACTGTCGTAAAGAGCTCCACTTTTCATGTACTAATAAACTAAAAGTCTGTCATCTGCATCTTCACAATACCCAACAAGCCCTAAATGTTTGTGGTGAAGCCTTGACAGCAAACCCAATTCTGACTGAGAGGTACTCTCTTCCTCTAGAAACTTCCTCATCTTGTGGCCAGCTTCCATTCTCTTAGCTGCCACTTCGCAGCCATCTTTTAATTTTCTTCTACTAACAACTGTTGGCTAGAAACAAGGGCTAGCCTCCTCTACTCAACACACAAACCTTGTCTGCTGATTTTTCAAGCAATGGTCCTTATTTGGGTTTTACAAAGTGTTAAACCAAGTGAATTTGCTCTGTAGGTTGCTCTACTTGATTTTTACGTACTTACCTCAGCAGCAAATTTCCCATTTCATCGTGCTTATGAATTTAAATATGGCTTTTTGAAAGTGGTTTAGTTTCCCAAGCTTTGAACTAGAAATAGGTTCAGATGCTAATCAACAACTTGCTTTGAACCTTGTCAAAACAGACGAAGGCCAGCCGTGGACAACACTCCTTCCCAGCACATGGAAATGTCCATGCTGCAGCAGGTAATTCCAAGACAGGAGAATTATACTCAAAGCCGGGCAGTTGGACTTCACAATGTGGAATCAACAATTTCAGAACTTAGTGGGATCTTTACACATTTGGCTACCATGGTTGCACAGCAAGGGGAGTTGGCTATCAGGTCTGCTTTTTTTTTTTCCTTGGATATTTACTGTCAGCATGTTTTATTTGACATATACAGAAAGTTCATAATCCATCTGTTCTTTGATCTCTTTAAGAAACTTAGACTGTAGAATATCTTTTTGCCTTGTCATAACAAGATCAGCTTGATTTATTTAATCAGGATCGATGATAACATGGATGAGTCGTTGACTAATGTTGACAATGCTCATGGTGCTTTATTGAGGAATTTGAACCAAATATCATCAAATAGGTGGCTTATGATGAAGATATTTGCTGTTATAATAATTTTCCTCATTGTATTCGTTTTCTTTGTGGCTTGAATGTCATAATTGGGTCCATTTAACCCACTGCTAGATGCGCTGCTGAATAGCATGCTCGATATCCTTCTTCCTGTTTTACTAATTAACATATCTAGGTTGCCATGTTGTGGCGGATAATGCCCCTTGTTCTGTAAATTCTCGAGATTGCATTTATAGTTGTAAAGAACCTGGCTTCAAGCTATATTTACTGAAGCCATATTTACAGAAGCACATATATAGATTAGGCAATTGTTGAACCTCCGTTATTTGACTGTGTAATTGGTGTTGCATTACGAAATGACACTACATAAATTAAATGAGAGTCGATTTTCTTAACTCTGCTTTTTGGGGAGATTATAAATATTTTTAGGGACATCTCTCAGACTTTGGCATTGCAGGACTAGGAACGTCAAGTGACAAAATCTACCATGTCATTTATTATTATGAATTATGAGAGACAAATATATAGATATATCTATATAAAAAAGTGCATGCCAAAACTTCGCTTCTTTTAGTGTACAGAAGATAAACAGGGAAAAGTCTGGTTTTCAAGGCATAATAAATGGTGATTTAATGTACCTTTGCATCGTTCAATGAAATTATCGTACTTGGCTCATTGTTATCCTTTCTTTTAGCCATAGAAAATGTATTATTTGTTCTGTTTCCTAGATTTCAGCCAGTTATACTAATGCATAATCGTGAAATACCCAAGTCCCAATGGTTCAATTAGAGAATTCAATGTTTTCTCAAGTTGGATTGTTGATGATGAAAGTTGCCCCTTTGTGCAATGCCTTCCAATATCCTGACAGACATGGGTTTCATTCCTTGGCTAATGGAAGAAGAGATATAAAACGGTGACGGCTGATCTCATGAGATTTACTTCATTAGCGAACATATTTTTTTTCTTAAAGAAAATACCGGTCCATCTCTTTGCACCGAACAACTAAGTGTTAGGCCGAGAGAATGGTATGAGTCTAACTTATCGATTAAGAGAGGAACATGACTATCAAAATTGAATGGACAAGATTTAGTATATGATAAAAACAATAACAACTTAACTCTTCATATTTTATTTCTTTCATGCAATCCTGGTCATTGAATTTAAAATCAATCGTTAGATTTTGAACTGAAACACGAGAACCCAAATCCCTAACTCATAGAGAGCTCGCCGCCAATTTACTTGTGGTGTAATTTAGAGTGCAAACAAAATTCATGGCCATTGATCTATTCTCTCTTCTTCGTCTGCTAAACATGCGTGGCTGTCAAAACTTATTTGGAATTGGGATGCACTTTTATTAGGCTCTTAGCTGTCAAAAGGATTTTTTTGATGTTTGATTGCAATTTGCTGCCTCGAGGCTAATAGGTACAGAGACTGAACGCTCTTCACACAAACCCTGAAGAAACGTACAGAGTCAATTTGATGAAATTTTTTAATGTAGGGAGCTCTTTTAATTTGTCGATTTGATTAAAATTAAACTAGGGGTTAATAAGGTGGGGATTTTTCATCACAATATAATTCAACTCCTTTGCAATAATAATTATACTCTAATTCATTGGGTTTTTTATGCCATAAGCCTTTCGAGGATATGGCTATCAAATGGCATTAATTAAAACTCTTTGAAGTATGATGTTTTTTAGAGTGTAATTAGTCAGTTTTAAAGTTTTTTTTTCAGTTTTAAGTGAATGATGATGTACGCTAGCTAGTTGTTGCTGGGGAACTGAACCCTATTTCAACTAATCTAATTATGCAAGCAATATTTTGATTTCAATTTAAGTTTATCGATGGAGAAGCAGCCAAACAACTGTTGTGTTGTTAATTGATTGATGAGTAAGTTGAGAATAATGTCTAAGAGATGCTGGGGCGAATCAATCAGCCACCAAGTTAAATTTGCTACAGAATCTCCTTTTTGACTTCCTTAATTCGTAGTGGATGACTCAATATCTCTGTTGTTCCCCACAAACTGAGTTCTGAAAAACCTAATAAAGAATAGAAGTGGAAATGATCAAGTGAACGAAAGGATTGTCGTATTGACAAGCAAATAAAGAGACGCTGAGCTGCTTTGTTATGTGGGAAGTAGAGGAAATCTTTTTTTCACTTGATTGATTGCAATAGCCAACTATTCTTCATTTTCAGCCTTGTTTTTCTTTGTCTATTGGCAATGACCCGACAAGGGGTAACTAAAAGGGACATATTGATCGTGGGCTACAAGCCAGAAAATTAAAGAACTATAGCTTGATAGTAAAAGGTGATGGTTGATTCTACATGCCAAGGGCGGAAAAGAATTTCTTCTTTTGCAATCTCAACTTGCATTATTATTACTAGCAAGATAAGGCCTCCCATGTTGTCAGGAATCTTCGCTCCTCACGTAATTTCTGAATTGGCTAAAGTGGTTTTTAGGCTTCGATCTTGTCTCACAAAGCATTTCCTCTATATCAAAATTCTCACCTACGTAACCCCTTATTGGCTTTTCAAAGAACTCTCTTATTTTGTTGGTCTATTTTTGGGTCATCTCTCAGCCATAATTCGCATTTCAAGATTAAGAAAATCAAGCTACAATCCTCTGCTTCATTTATTTGTCGGAACTATAAGAGAGAATACGAGGGAAAAAAAAGTACCCTTGTAATAGAGAGAAGCTGATAGGGGACTAACTTCTTATATTCTTAATTAATGGCTACTTTGGTTAGTGTAGGAGCTAAAATTGACCGACCATCATCCTCTGTATGGTGAAACAAACTACTAAATGCTTAACCGTAAAAGGATAGAACACATATATGTTGCAAAAATAAACTCTGCTGAAAACGTAACAAATCACTTATGGCAGACATAAGGCTAACCATTTCAAGCTCCATGTCTTCATTTGCGTGATAGAATTGAATTGGTCATAGATGAAGCCGTTGAAAAGACTGGTTGGTGTGTGATCATTCGAATTCTATGCTACGCCTAAAAGGGTTTGCTTAGCCTCATCATCAAGCACCAATGGTTCAATTACTTGCATCACACGATATCCATCCTTCATTAATCATGGAGACATGCATAAGTGAGAGACAAGTGCAAACAAGAAGTTACAGGGCGACAGTTGAGTTTGGAGATTCATGGTATATATGTCGCAGATACGTGACCTTGTTTGGTGGGAAGATAATTAATGTTGGAATTGCTACATATTTGTCATTTGATGGTTTCCTGCTTTGCTTTCGGCATGCACATCAAATTTGATGTAACCTTTGATTAATCCCTTGATTGCAATAAGATGTCATTTGACTAGCTAGAAGGAATATATATATAATTGCGAACGATGGCTTAAAATTTTTTGTGGACAAATGACATGGTAGTTACTAAACAATTTAATGACCAATTTTGTCCTCTTTTCATTGTGTGATTTGATAATTTCAAATATATAGTAATGCATTATGTAATTTGAATATTAAAATATTAGAAATTGAACAAGTATAATCCAAATTACCTAATCTTCATTATTTATAACTCGTCAACCCAATTGACAATTACTTAAAATGTTAAAATGATATTTTTTTTGGCATTCTCGCTTTTAATTATTATTTAAAAAATATTTTTAACCTCCTAATCTTGATTTTTTTAAAAAAATTATTTTTTATTTAAAATATAGTAAATATTTTATAAATTATATATAAAAAATTTATAAATATTTTTAATCCTCCTAATTCTAAACTTTTTTTAACCTTTTTTTTTATAAAATATTATAAATATCTCATATAAATTTTTTTTATAGTTTATAAAATTAGAGGGGTCAACCCTTAATTATGCTCATTTTAATTTATAATTTTTTTTAAAGGTCTAAAATTGTGTATTGTTAATTATTTTTTTTACAATAACATTTTATAAAAAAATTCAAAAAAAGTTCAAAATTATGGGGTTAAAAATATTTATAAATTTTTTTTATATAATATAATATTTTATAAGAAAAAAGTTTTTTTTTTAAAAAAGTTCAAGATTAAGGAGATTAAAAATATTTTTTTTAAAAAAATATAATTAATAGCGGAATATCAAAACGATATCGTTTTGACATTTCAAATAACGGTCAACTTACACGTAATAAAGATTGAACAATTTAAATCAAATTTGTCTAATTTCTAATACGTTGGAATTCAAATTATGTAATTTGGAATTCAAATTATGTAATTTGATATTATGAGTTCAAAATTATCAAATCTTAATAAAATATGAGTAAAATTTGTCATTAAATCATTACTAAACATATTAATAGTAACACTGAAGTTGTATACACTACACGTACCAAGCGTGCAGGTGGTAAAAACGTCACAAAGAGATCATACAAAAACGAAAAACCTCTAAAAATTCTGATTGAACGTAAGGAATACCTAACAATTATAAGAAATAAATACAAAAGTAATACTACAGCGTGGTAATGATTAAATATAGGTAGTTACTAGTTATATATAAAAAAATGATGGTAATTTAGGTAGTACCAGCACTTCTCTTTCCTTCTTTCTGTCTCCATCTCCTTCTCGTTTTGGTTCTTTTATGGCATGGATTGACCATATAGATAGCTAGCAGTTTGGTGGTTAACTAGCTTATACCAAACGATCTAGGCCTTTAATTTCATTCTCTTCAGTTAAAAGAAAATAAGGTAGCTATAAATAAAAATGATTATGATGGTAATTTATGACTACTTGACTATACATTTATGCATACAATGTTAGATGATGTAAGAGTACTGCATTATAATACGAAATCCATGCTTTTTTAACGTTAATCCTAAGAAATCTGTCTCGTGCTGGACAATTTCTACTTTTATAGAGAAAATCCAAGTTTGACACACCTCGAACTACTCCACCATCATGGAAATCAGGTATGACTATGATTATCACTCAGCCTATCGTGATATTCATTTGTTTTGCTAATGAAATTCTTCGATCATAAAAGAGTATATACAAATCAAAATCAAAATTCAATTTACATTATATATAGATAACTAACAATAATAATAATCTCTTAATTATACCAGATTTGTGTTGTTTTGACT